AGGAAGCTCAACAAAGGAAAACCGGAACCATAGCCTGAAACCACCAGGAGTTTTTAAAAGGCACCAGCTCTTCTTGTGCCCTTTATTTCTTACACAACTGCCACAACAATTTGCCCCTCCTTTCTTTCCTTAGGACCTTCGCACATGATGTTCCATTGGCCAGATCTCTCTCCACCCCCCAGCTCTTTCTTGATAAAATTCCTACTTATCTTTTAAGTATCAGTTTATATACAGTTCCCTAAAGAATACCTTCCTTGGCCCTCTGATATGATTTAGTTTGCTTTTTTAATTCTCTTTTAGCATCCTCGTCTCCTCCTTCATAACACTTATAAGTGTTGCTATATATTTATTCGTTGTTTTGGTTATATAAAACCAAAAAAAACACCAATAACAGAGGCATTAAACTTTATATTCATGGACAGATTCCCATGTGGTAATCACCCATTAAAAGGTATTTATGGAAGACTTACAATAACCCAGGCACAGTGGCTAAGCACTAAGACTGAAAATAGTCCCACTCCTCAGGTAATTACAATACTGGCGCCTAAGTATTTCTATGAGCACAAGAACACGGTACAGGAAATGAGCCTAAGGACAGCCCTATCATGGGATAAGGGCAGTTTTTGGAGGATGCAACACAAGCAGAGACCTGAAGGACAAGTGGAGTTAACTAGAAGATGCAAGGAATGGGGACTAGGTCATGGGGCGGGGTGAGAATGAGGACGTACTCCAGGCAAAGGAACTAGCTGTGCAAAGACTTGAAGGTAAGAGAACACAGGCAAATTTAGAAAATAAATATTATTCAATATGGCAGGTGCAGAGTGATTGGTGGTATGAGAAGATAGGTAATCTGGGGTTGCATCATGGATTAAACTATATTTTAAAAACAATGGGAGTAGCATACTCAGATTTTCATGGTAGAAATCTAGCTGCAGGGTAGAAAATGGATTAGAGAGGGCCAATGGTAGACTGAATTATCGGCCCCATTGCTCACTGCTCCCTGCATCCCCGCCCCCTTACCATGGCCTCACAGTAAGCCAAGTGTGTTTCTCTACTCTTTAACCTTGGGCCAGGACATATGACTTGTTTTGGTCAATGCATGTGGGTAGAAGGGACCGTGTTATATTTCTAAGCCTGGGATTTAAGATGCCTTGGGTGTTTCCACTTGCCCTCTTGAACCTCTGCCTTTGCTATGAGGAAAACATGCCCTGGCCGGCCCACTGGGCCCAGGAGGAGGATGGGAGAAAAATGGAGCAGCGCTGCCCCTGCTGTTGCAGCCTGAAGCACATCAGCCCAAATGGACCACAAACCCATAAGAGAAAACAATTTTTTAAAAATTAGATGTTGAGAGTCTTCTGTATGCAGCAGTACTGTGACCATTGCTAACTGAACAAAGACATACACTAGAAATACGGTAGAGTGATGAATTAGGAGATTATTGTAGCTGTCTGTTGAAAGCTTATGATAATGAAGGTGGAGATGGAGAAAAAGAGAGATTCAAAAGATACTTAGAAAATATAATTACCATGACATAGTAGCCTTGTAGAGAGAAGTTAGTTAAGAATGTCTCCTGGGGTTCTTCCTTGGGCATTTAATTGTTTATTGAGATGTGGCACACAGGAGAAGATGGTATGTTTAGTTACATTGAACTTGAACACCTGTGAGGTGTCCAAGGGGACAGGTTCAGTAGACATGGGTCTAGAACAGCCGTGGGCAAACTACAGCCCGCGTTTGAAATGAAAAAAACTAAAAAAAAAAAAAAAGACCGTACCCTTTTATGTAATGATGTTTACTTTGAATTTATATTAGTTCACACAAACACTCCATCCATGCTTTTGTTCCGGCCCTCCGGTCCAGTTTAAGAACCCATTGTGGCCCTCGAGTCAAAAAGTTTGCCCACCCCTGGTCTAGAACTTGGGAGAGGTCTCAGATGGACCATAAATGAACACTTAGGTGGGTCTGGATAGAGATCCTCAGGGAGAGAGTATAGAACAAGAATGTGGCAGATAGAACTCTGCAAACATCAGTACTCAAGGACACATGAACACAAGTCCTCAAAAAAGAGCAGCAAAGAGAAGGAGACATCCAGGGAAGGTAGTGTCCTGGAAGCAAGGAATGAGAGAGCTCTAAAAAGGAGGGCGTGTTTCCCTGGCTGATGGGGCTTCATACCACACACGAAAAGGATTTTGGGTTCTATTCCCCATCATGGCATGTACCTAGGTTTTGGGTTTGACCCCTGGTTGGAGCTAATCGATTGATGTCTCTCTCTCTCTCTCTCTCTCTCTCTCTCTCTTTCTCTCTCTCCCTCTTTCACACACACACACACACACACACACAACATTAAAAACATACCTGTGGGTGAGGATTAAAATAAAATATAATAATTAAAAACAAATTAAAAGGTGGGTGTGTTCAACTGTGCATAAAACTGTGAGGAAAGAGGCAAAGAATTTACAAGAAAGCACAAAGAATTTACCTACTTTACAAATAAAGAAAGGAAAGACATTTTGCCCAGGAAATTTTAGACAATCCCACAGTAGATGAGCCAATAAAGCCCAAATCACAGGATAAGATGCTGAGGTTTACTGGATGTTTAGTGAGCAAAAGCAAGATCCCAGGGCACTTATGGGCTTTCTGCTTCTTACTCCCTGTTTTATTGCAGTCACTTTTTCAGATAGGGTGGTGTGGTTGGCAGGATGTGGGCGACTCACAGCGAGTGGGTAAGGGTGTAACTGAGTAGAGAGAAGCATTCTTTTGCTCTCATGGACTCAATCCATTGCCACTCAACCCAGTCCCTGGGAGGAAGGGTCTGGGAAAATATTAAGTGCCCTGGGAGAGGAAGATGACGGGGTGGGCTGACAGGCACCAGAAACCCCACACTATGTTTGAAGCAAACCCAGAATTAGAGTGGCAGCCATTCTCTCTCACCTCCAGCCCTGCAGCCATCTTTGGGGGGAGGGGAAGTAGAAAGGGCCATTGGTCAGAGGGAAGAGATTATAAATCTGGAGTTCTGGAGAGACGTTCTAGAACTTCTGGCAGTAGAAGGTCACCCGTCCTTGTGTATGTATGTTGGATGGTATGTGAGAGACAGAAGATTGTGTGTGTGGTGCAAAGTTTTACCTACTAGTGGCAGACCCCGGGAAGGATCTGGGAACCCAATAATGAGCTGTCCCTGCCTCTAGAGGCTCCAGCCATGTGGGGTCACTGGGCTGAGAGCCAGGTGGGCCTGGGCCCAGGGTGCTATGAGAGTGCTCTGGAGAGTTTTCTGGAGGAAGTGGAACCTTTGACATGAGACATTTGCCTTCTAAATTAGACCCAGATTACCAAATGGATAGGGAGGCAGGGTGCAGGGCAGAAGCCCACTCCAAGAAAGGTAAGTGCATTTGCCGGTTTAGCAGGGCGGTGAAGAACCCTCCTGGGCTGATATCCTGGCTCTGTCGTTTGCTAGCTCTGTAGCCTTAACCTTTAGGTGTCTCCATTTCTTTATTTGTCAAAAGGGGACAAAAGTGGGTGCCTCATCATGGGCTGCTGAGGTGACTGAATGAGAAAGTCCATGTAACATGTGAGGATGGTGCTTGCACACCGGGGGCTCTCAGGAAGCACAGCTCTGCTCATGGGACAGGCCCTGACCTTGTATGTGAACGTCAGAGGGGATCAGGAGGGTGAGGAACACCGGGGCCTGTGCCTTTGTTCCTCGGACCTTGTTCACACAGGACAGATGGCTGATCCAATCGTAATCAGCCTGAGAATAAATGGGCACCTTATTTTAAATGGGAGAAGGAGAGCAAAGGTTTCTTTTATCTTATGTCTTACTTGGGGTTTAAACGCCATCTGTACTCCTCACCCGTTTCCTTGTGAAATAATGGCAAGGAGCAGTCCAGAAATCTCAAATTGGCTAAATAACTTGTCCCGAGTCCCACAGTGAGATTATTGAAGAGTAGGGGCCTGAACTCTGATCTTCTAAGCTACAGGCCCAGGCCTCCTAATAAATCACACTTCTCCCTGTCATCTGCTAGCCAGCAAGATCTGCCCCCCACCGTGTCCGAGCTGGTCACACAAGGTGGAGTGATTTCATGGAGCAAGCCATGCTCAGAAACAGAAAATGTCGCCTCAGGCATCTCCTTGGATGTTTGATTTTAATATAAAAGGTAGTTCTAACCTTAATGAGCAAACACTAAGTGATCGTTCCTCTTAGGTTGCTCTGACAGCACTGACTGCAGGCTGAGAAGCAAGCTAGCTTTGAAGGGTCAGCAGGAGGGGCCAGGAACAGGCGACTTTTATCGGTGTGAACAGGAACTTGACCTTGCATTGTAAGCCTGCTCAGCTGTTCATCCAAAGGAGAACTGTGGTTCCCAATTACAGAAAATCAGTAGCTAGAATTATTAATAACAGCAAAAGAAGCTGTTGGCGCCGCAAGTAATCTGTGGTAATGTTTTATAATTGATGGTCCTTTTTATTATTTCAACACTAATTAATGCATGTTCCAAACAATGCATTGACTTTATTTATGGTGTTAGGACAGCCCTCCTAGCTTAACGCCATTCCTTATTGTTTTCTTTCGATAATTAAAATGCACTGTGTATTTGTTCTGTCTGTGGGTGTTTAGAGGACTGCACCTTCTGGGAGAGCCTCGTGGGTAGTACATACAAACGCGACCCCATAGACACTCTGGTCCTCTCAAGGAGTAGCCTGATGATTTTCTCCCCAGTACAATCCACACAACAGCCCGTGGTAATTTATCCACACAGTCTCCCCGTGGTTGGCTTCATTTGACCCATTTATAAAATGAAAAGTGTGAGTTCTGCGAATGCAACTGCCACTTTGCAGCCACGACCTGGCAGGTCTGGCTTGTCTGCAGACAAGCCGTGCGGTCAAGTCCCTTCCCCTCTCCAGGCCCCAAGGCCTGTGAAAGGAGGGAGATGGAAGTGGTCATCCTTAAAAGTGCTCAGAGCCCTACATTTGAATGTGTTAATGGAATAAGTGATCATGCTTTCTTGCAGGTGCATTGAAGGCTCTGACTGCTGGAAAGAGAAAAAAACACGAAAAGATTAATGGGCCAGTGTCGCTGGAGGATTCACTGCCAACAGACACAAGCTGCCTATTCCTATTTAGTATCTCTGCATCTTCCTGAAGGCTGAGTGCTACTATTTGACTCTTTCTATCCCTTTAAATAATAGGCTGCACATGAAATAAAATCTACTGAATTTCAACTGAGGCTGTAGGCTGATGTTCTATATGAGATATTCCATAATATTTTTCCAAGTTTATTTACAAGATGGGAGCCTTCACATTCCATTTATTGTGTATATTAATTTTGTTTTTGTTTTTGTCTCAGGAAGACAAGAAAGGCATTTATGTCAGCCCTCACCTCCCAAGGTCAGAGCTGAAGCCCCGTGCAGAACAAATCAACTCCAGAATGCAACATGTGTTGCTACTGCTGGCCTGTGGTTACGCAAGTCAGTTGTCTCAGCATGAGAGATCAAGACCATAGATTAGGGTTACTTGTAATTCCATTAGTTCTGTTTCATCACAGTCCTAGCACCATCCAGTTATCCTGCAAAGGTGTTATAGGTTATAAGAAGTATTTGCTCTGAACTGAAGCTTGTGTGTGTGTGTGTGTGTGTATGTGTGTGTGTGTGTGTGTGTGTGTGTGTGTGTGTGTTTTGGTTTTTTATGTGTTTCTTTTTTACCTGTGAATGGACCTTTTTCTCCATCTTGGACCTACCCACACTGAGTACTTTCCTAAAGCACAGCTGGAAAGGTTAAGTCTCTTGAAGACTTATCTGTTGGTGAATACTGACTTTCCAATGTTAACCCTCAGCTTGATGGTTTTCTCATCATCCCACTGAGCACTTCTAATGTCAGGCCCTAAACGTTCCCCCAAAGCATTTGCCCAGCCTTGAGTAAGCTGTCATGAGCCAACTGGTGCTGAGATACAGCCACACACAGTACCTCTAGGATGTTATGCAACATTTGGAAGAAGTTAAACAAGTGGACATGGTTACTTTTTTGTTTGTTAATCCTCACCGAAGGATATTTTGGCCATTGCTTTATTTTACAGAGTGGAAGGGAGAGAAGGAGAGAGGGAGGGTAGGAGAGAGAAACATCAATGTGAGAGAGAAATATCAATTGATTTCCCTCCACATGCACCCTGACTAGGGCCTGGGATCAAATCTGCAATGACCGGGAATGAACCCATGACCCTTTGGTGCCAGGGCCAACATCCTAACCACTGAACAATATCATCCAGGCTGGTTACATTTTTAAAAATATAATTGACCCGCATGCACTCTGGCTAGGGCTGGGATCAAATCTGCAACCCAAGTACCTGCCCTTGACCGGGAATGAACCTGTGACCCTTTGGTGCCAGGGCCAACACCCTAACCACTGAACCACATCATCCAGGCTGGTTACATTTTTAAAAATATAATTGATAGAGAACAAAAGGGCTACACATAAAGCTGATGTTAGGCTTTCACTCTGATAAATTTATTAAGAAATAATGTGGGTAAATGGAAGTATATACCGTGCTCATGGATTGGAAAAATCAACATCATTAAAATGTCCATACTACATAAAGCAATCTATAGATTCAACGCAATCCCCATTTAAATACCAATGGCATACTTCAAAGACCTAGAACAAACTCTCCAAAAATTCATCTGGAATAAAAAAAGACCCCGAATAGCTGCAGCAATCTTGAGAAAGAAGAACCAAGTTGGAGAGATCACAATACCAGATATCAAGCTATACTACAAAGCCACTGTTCTCAAAACTGCCTGTTACTGGTACAAGAACAGACATATAGACCAATGGAACAGAACAGAGAACCCAGA